AGCCAACAGCTCCTGAGCACAGCAGGGCTGGGACCCTTACACAGAAAGAACAAAATGCTGACATTACTACATGCCATGAAGCTATACAAAGTAAATAAATGGACAACAGGACATGGTCAATTTCAGAAGCAGACCAAGAAATACAAGCCTGACATACATGGGAAATCCATGAGGTCTCCCCCAGCACAACTGCACCAAACAGACAACTTGGCCTTCAAGTATTAGTTACTGTGTAAAATGAGGAGAACAGTAACTCTCGCCCCATAGCACTCCTGCAGAATTTCAAGAGTCAGAACTGAGATCAAATAAACACTTAAGAACTAGGATCTGCTAGTTTTAAATAGTTAAACAATTTAGAAAGAAATTGCATCCTATGTCTTCCTCTATACAGAAATTAGTTCTGGGTGAATTCAAGAACAGAAGATAAAAATTCAAGAAAATGTCAGAATCAGCTTGCCATAGAAGCCTGATAACCTGGAACCTATGTAAACAGATGGAACAAGAAAGTCAACTCCACAAAGTTGTTCTATGACCTCCCCTTGTGCACCTATGTACATACGTGTAGATACACGCACTCACACACACACACCATATACACACACAACACCAACAAAATTAAAATATAAATAAAATGAGCTTTGATCCTCCAAAAAGAGAAAGAAAAAGTCAAGGCTAGGAACACGGTCTGAGCAACCCATGTAGTTTGTAACAACCAGCGCTCACCAAGAACGCCATTCCGCACATCTCTGAGACATTTGAAGGGAGAAGAACTTCCAAAAGGTAAAAATGACAAGAACTGAAAACAGAGAAGAGCTATCCTACAACCCCTAAAACAGGTCAGGGACTCCAGTAGAGAGCCAATTTGACCCTAACTCCATAAGACATTATGTCCTAGTAACCTTTTCAGAAGCAAAGAATGCTAAACCCAGGTCCAAGGTTTTCAGAATTACACCTATCAAATACACTATGTTCAAACAAACTGAGAAGGAAAACTTCCTGAGAGACCACACTATGGAGATCAAGTTAGAGAAATCCACAAACATAAGCAGCAAGATAGACAAGGATAGTCAGACAGATAGATAGCCAAATTGTCCTTGTCTACTAAGGGCAGCATGGTTTGACAAGGTAAGAGCTGGTAAACCAGTCAGGAAGAAAGGCAAGCAGGCAAGAAAAAGAGAGAAGGAAAAAAGGGAGGGAAGGCGAGGGAGGGGGAAGAAAGGGAGAGATGGGGGGGGCACACAGGTAAAAAGAAAATTAAACAACTTAAATACTCTAAAAAAGAATGTTCTGATATAATCAACAGTAAAAATAAAAGAAGTGTGTACAAGAACCAGTCTTAAGCAGGGCGCACATCCGCCTTTAGTTCCAGCACTCAGGAGGCAGATGTCTGTGAGTTTTAGGCCAGTTTGGTTCACAAAGCAAGTTCCAAGACAGCCAGGACTGATACACAGAGAAACACTGTCTTAAGAAACAAAAACAAGCCGGGCCGTGGTGGCACACATACCTTTACTCCCAGCACTTGGGAGGCAGAAGCAGGCGAATTCTGTTAGTTCAAGGCCAGCCTGGTCTACAGAGCTAGTTCCAAGACAGGTTCCAAAGCTACAGAGAAACCCTGTCTCGAAAGGAAAAAAACAAAAACAAAATGATAAATCTTAGCAGTATAAGGAGTGAAAACCTTCCAATTGCAACAAAAGGTTATGTACAATAAGATCCCTTTCCTTTTTTTTTTGGTTTTGGTTTTTTGTGGGGGTTTTTTTTAGTTTTGTTTTTTTTTTTTTCCAAAACAGGGTTTCTCTGTAGCTTTGGAACCTATCCTGGAACTAGCTCTTGTAGTCCAGGCTGGCCTTGAACTCACAGAGATCTGCCTACCTCTGTCTCCTGAGTGCTGGGATTAAAAGCGAGCGCCACCACTGCCCAGCTTTTTTTTGTTTTTGTTATTTTTTTTTCAAGAAAGGGTTCTTTGTGTAACAATCCTGGCTGTCCTGGAACTCACTTTTGAAATCAGGCTGGCCTCGGACTCACCAAAATACACCTGCCTCTGCCTCCCATGAGCTAGGATTAAACCACCGCCGCCCAGGAGAGTCCTTTCTTTTAACATAGAAAGATCTAAATGCACTGTTTAAAAATATACACACGCAAGACAACACTTCAACAAGACTTAAAGCCTGTACATCAGGCAGATGTTTCCCTTGAATCTGGCAGAGCACTAAAATTAGGAGGCTAAATGGGACAACCTCCTATCTCCTAAATTGGGGTGGTAGATTTAAATGTGTTTGTTTTCATTTTTTAATACATCTTTTTATGTGTGTGGGGGGGATAGGTAGCTGTATATGTATGCGCACCACATGCATGTAGGAGCCTGAAGAACTCAGAAGAGGCATCAGATTCCCAGGAACTGGAATTACAGACATTGAGTCACCATGTAGGTGTTGGGAACTAAACACAGGTCTTTTACAAAACCGTAAGTGCTCTTAACTGCTGAGCCATCTCTCCAAGACTCATTTTATTTTCACTATAATGCATAACTTTTAATGCATTCTTACATTTGTGTGTGGTGAGGGGGAGGGATGGAGAGAGAGAGGGAAGGAGGGAGGGAGAGAGAGGTCCCATATGTGGAGGTTGTTATGCCCAGATCAGAGTCCCCCCAAAACCAACTAGGAGACCAAGTCCTGTATGTTAAAGCAAAGAGCCTTCATTCTTACACAAGTTTGCAAACTTGGACTCTCCGTGTGTCCAGCATATGGGAATGATAGAGAAGGCCCCCAAGCTTAGTTGGGGTTGGGTTTTTATAGTAGCAAAGGTGGGGGTGAGGGATCCCTAAGGTACAGGACCCTGATTGGCTGGCTGACATTTGTCTAGGGGTGTCCTGGTGAAAAGCCAAGGGTGTGGGCTGGCAGGTGACCCTATCTACAACGTTGGACCGTTAGGAATTTCCTTTGGAAGGTCAGTTCCTGGGTGGGTAGTGCCTGGGTGGTCTCAGTTTGTGGTCTTTACAGGAACCAGGTATTGCCCTTGGGTAAACTACTGAGACTCAGGCCTCCCTTGAGCTGGTCAAGGCTAGGTCCTACAGAGGTCAGAGGCTCAGTTCTCTCTTTCCACCACGTGGATCCCAGGGATCAAACCCACACAGACTTTGGTAGCAAGTGCTGTTATCCCCTGAGCCATTTTGCTGAGCCCAAACTGTAGAGTTTCGATTCCTTTTGTTTTTTGAGGCAAGGTCTCCAGAGCACTGGAAGTGCTGGGAAGACAGGAAGGCATCATCAGCCTGACAACTGTTATCTTTGTGTGGAGCTGAGTACTAAACCCAGAGCAAACTCTGCATAAGGACTACTTGCCCTCAGTATTTTGCATATTACATACATAGGCACAGACACTCAATATGCGATCCTAAAAAGCAACAACTCAATATGAAATAAAAGCAGCTACATAGTGTTCAAGGCTCTATGACACACCTTGTCTCAAACAAAATAAAGATACGTAGGGGCTAGAAATTTTTGACTTTGGAATGTATAACTTTCCTTCAAGCCCGTTTTAATATCCAAGGTGTACATCTAGGTATCTAAATGCACTAATTACTGCTACTGCAAACAATGATACAACCACACTGTGGTTTTCTGCTTTTAGAACCAACCTATAAACAAAGCTCAGGACATTTAATTATGGCTCCCTAATACATTGCCAATGCCACCAAACCTTACTTCGTTTTTTAGAAGTTGTATAACTTCATAATACATTGCTATAAAAATCTTAATTTATAAAAGAAAAATACCATTCTTCAAGCTAAATTGTCAACGCTACAAATTTTTATTTTAAAATACAGGACCTGGGGAGTGGCTCCTTGGGTTATAAGTTCTTGTTATGCAAACATGAGGACCTGAGTTTAAATTTTTAATCACATAAAAAGCCAGGCATGGATGCACGTACCTGCAATCCCAGAATTAGGGGATGAAGATAAGTGAATCCCCAGCGCTCACTGGCCCGCTAGCCTAACCTAAAAGGAAAGCTTGGGGCATTCCGGTGCTGGCGGCTCCTGTGCGCGGGTCAAACGGCCGGAATCCGCCACCACCCGGGCCGGGGCCGGATGAAGGGAGTGCGGGCGCGCGAGGTAAGGGACCACGCCTCGCCGCCACCTGCAAGAGAACTTTAGAACGCGGGTGTCTCACCTGAGGCCGGCGATCGTTCCGGACCGATTCACAACGTGAAGATCCCGCGCGCTTCTACCTACTGACCAATCGTAGAACGAGTTGCGCAGAGTGACAGGCGACACGAACCAACCAGACACCCGTACGGGCGAGCCTCAGTGAAAGCGAGCGGCTGAGCGCGCGCAACGGTTGCTAAGGACTCACCAGCCACCACCCTACCGCGCCTCCAAAGAGCCAAAAGAGACCCGTTTCTCTGTCGCCCTCCCACCCCACCCCCAAGGGACTGCCGTTTACTCCCAGAGCGGACCAAGAACGGTGAGCGACGCGCAGCCCGCCTTTCGACGGCCACATTCTCAAGGAGGGCGGGGGATGAGCGGAAGTGGACGACGCGGAGTGAGGTGGGAGCGGCAAACGTGCGCCCCCGAGCCGGACCGCGGCCACCCCTCCCTCCTGCTCTGAGCATCCGCGAAAACCGGCCCGTGGCACAAGTCAGTCAACGCGCAGGCGCGGAATAAAGCCGTCTTCCCGGCCCACCGACCCGTCGTGCAGACACACATCAGCGAGGCTCCCGAGGTCGCAGATGCAAGTCTCACCTGCCTCATCTGTGGCCCGTTGCGCTCTCCTGACCGCCGTACCTCCACGCTTCCGAAAGTCGACATGGTGGTTTGGGCGAACCCGCAAGTTTGAAGTAGCTCCCATGCTTCCTGATGCCTTGCCGGGAAGTCGCCCTGCTCGCGTAGACGCCTCTCACTCCTCTTACACCTAGCTCAGGTGGAGCCGGCTCCCACGGGAACTACAACTCCCATGAAGCACTGCGTTCACGCAAGCGCGTCAACTCGCGCTTCTATGCTCGGTTCCATTGGTTGACTGACAGGGCCGGGAGTCCCGATTGGTCCATGGCCTGAGGCGACAGATTCCGGAAAGGGGTAGAGCAGCCAATATGGCGGCGGAGCGCGGCGCTGGGCAGCAACAGTCGCAGGAGATGATGGAGGGTGAGCGGCCCCTGCGGGCGACCGGGGAGCGGCGAGCTTGGGCTTGGGCGGGCACAGCCTCTTGCCGGATCGGAGCTCGGCCTCCAGCCATAGCCTCGGATCTCTGTCAGCTGCCAACCCGGCTGGACGGGGCGGAGAGGCTCAGAGCCCGAGAGCCCCGGCCGGAGGGCGGCAGCGGGCAGGGAAGACCGGAGCCCCGGGAACAACGTGGCGCGAGCCCGCCCAGGAAAGGGGGACGGACGAGGAAGCGGCGGCTATGGGAACCTAGTCTTAAAGCTCCAAGATTGACAGGCGAGGAGGCGGGGGACTGTCCTCTGTCAGCTCATTGGGAAACTGAGGTTTCAGGCTTGGGGACCTGCCAAGTCCATAGTTGTTCACGAGGCATGGATGGAAGAGTCTGCTCGGGAAGCGAATGGGTTGTGGCAGAGTGATGGGTGGCAAGGAGGTCCGGAGATAGTTTACGAGGCGGTGTCTTGTTTTCTTTACGTTCAGGATCTTGGACTAAATTCAACTTTCTTCCCTTTCTCATTGTGTTGAGTTGTGTCATCATATACATACATACATGCATACATGCATACACACATATATATTACATATGTGCATGTTTTGTACACAGTTGTTAGATACATAATCGTTACATGTGTGCATATTTATGTGTGTGTATGCATATATATAGCTGTGTGTGTGCGCGCACACACACAGGCGTATACTACCCATTGTAGCATCCGGCGAATCTGAACCCTTAAATGCCTTTTAAAGCCTCCTCTATTTTGGTGAGTTTTCCTTCTGGAAGAACAGTCACGCAGTCACTCTACTGAGAAGATTGCTAGGGAAGAGGGTTGCAGAGCAAGGAACAAGTGTGTTGGAAGAAAAGTCCAGTGTGTTTAAGAGTGGTGATGCTGCCCTGGGTTGGGCTTTGAAGGATCTCTAGATGTCATCCAGGCTGGGGACAGGTAGGGAGGACCATTCCAGAGAAAGGAAACCCAGTCCAAAGCAAAGGAGTATGGAAAAGAGTTTGACCTAAATTAACAGTCAGATGAGACGGGGGTTGGGAAGAGCCGGCAAGGCTTCCCAGAAAAGATTATGGAGAGCCTAAAAAGGGAGTCATGCTGGGGCTTTCTTTTACCTTTTCAGAGCAAGGAAATGTTTCTTCCTATCTCACCCTTCCCTCCTCCAGTATCTTTCTCCCCCTTCTTTCTCTGTTTCTCAGTAAAGTGCAAATACAAAAGCCAGGCTTTTCTCTCTTCCACTCCCACACCTGTCGTTACCAGCTGACACTTGTATTTCTATAGCCTCGTGTCTTTTGGCGGGGAGGGGTTTTGGGTTTGGTTGGTTGGTTTTTTGTGGGGTTGGTTTGTTTGTTTTAAGATAGGGTCTCACTATGTAGCTTTGTCTGGCCTGGAGTTTGCTATGCAGACCAGGCTGACCTAGAACTCAGAGATCTACCCATGTCAGTCTGCCAGAGTGCTGGAATTAAAGGCATGCACCTCCATGCTTAGTGAGCTCCATGTTTTGTCACCTTCTCTGTCATGGCCAATACCTTAAATCAGACCTTCCTCCTCCTGATATATTTTCCTTTTTGTTAGACTGTCATCCCCAGGGCCATGCAGCACACTGTCCCAAACTGTAGAACCTCTACTGACCTGAGGATAAAGGCACAGGTTGCAGCAACTGTCCCTTCTGTCCTCTGGTTCCTCAGAGACTGCTACACTGAACCTAGTTTCCCTAATCCTGGATCGCAGACTGTTATGTGCCTCTTGGTAACTCATACATTCTCCATGTCCTTCACACAGGCCACTCTTGTGCCCTTTCTCGTTTGGTCCTGATGGAGGTCTGGGGAGTGTACTCCCCTAACTCTTTTCTACGGATACGAAAATTGAGGTTTAGAAAAGAAGATCATTCGTCAGAGCCACGTGTCATTGTTGCTTTCTCACAGCCTGTTTATTTACTCTGAAAAGCTTTGCATTGGTAACATTGTCATGTGATCTTTTCACATTAGTAGGTTACCTGGCATCTGGCACTTGAGACAGATTCTCATTTTCATTGGAGCTCCTCCCTGCCCCCAGTCTGGTTTTAGCTAGCCTTGATTTCTTTCAGAATGTGGGGCCCTGTAAATTGAACCAGTTTTTCATGGCCAAATGGATAGTGGGACATCAATGAAGGTATGTGGTAGAGGGATCACAGTGGTCCCCTCTCATGGTGGACATCAGGTCAGCTGGGAGAGTCACCTGGAAGGTACTTCACTATGTGGTGCTGTTAGTGTTCCTGATCACAGGTGGCCTAGAGGCTTTTGGAACACTTGGCAGTTCTTTCCAAGCTCTTGGAGGGGAAGAACAGCTTGTTAGTTGTGCCCATGTGTCCTCTCGGGTCCTGTCTCTGTGTCTTAAATAGTGCTGGGACATAGAAGACATTCAAGTGTTCATATAAACTGAATTCAACTATTTCAGAAGCTGAGTTACAACTTGTGGTAATCTGTTCTCTGTTCCTCAAATGGTCACATGAAGTGGATGTGAATTCTCACTGATGTGTTTGGGTTCAGTTGACAGGCGGGTTGAATCTGAAGAATCAGGTGATGAGGAAGGGAAGAAGCACGGCGGTGGCATCGTGACGGACCTCAGCCAGCAGAGCCTGAAGGATGGAGTAGAACAGGGGGCGGAAGACCCAGAAGGTACTGGGCATGGTTAACCTTGAACTCACTATTGAGGGGGGAGTGTGCTGTTGAAGATTGCTGCTTCTTTGCGCGTGATATCTCCTCGTGGAAGCAGTTGTGTTCTTCAAAGGTCCCCAGTAGATTGGATAGCTGGGCATGCTGGCAGAGGACAGCCTGCTCTCTGCGGTGCTGCCTCAGCAACTAGCGGATTTACATTTATGGGTAGAGTAGATCCATTTCTGCTGAAGAGACAGTGCTACTACTGATGATATTGGCACTAATGTGTCACCTAGAGCAGAGCCAGAAAATGGTTTTTTAATCCTTTACTCAGAAAGTAGAATTTGAAGAGAGCATAGTGATTGACTGCTATGCTTCTGTACTGCCCCAGTGATGAGAAATCACTTCTTGTCCATCCTTGACATTTCTTATTTGAGACAGGATCTCACTATGTAGCCAGGCTGGTCTTGAAACCATTATGTAGCCCAGGCTGGCCTCAAACTCAGAGATCTGCCTACCGCTGCCTCCTAAGGATATGTGCTACTGTGCCTACATCCACCTCGATATTCATCTAGGCCTGAGAGACACCTGTTACAAGCGTAGGTGTTAGGGAGATCACTCCATTTGGAACTGAGCAGCTTCCTATGGTGGTTTTTTGGTTTTTTTGTTTTTTTGTTTTTGTTTGTTTGTTTTTTTGCTTTTTTGAGACAGGGTTTCTCTGTGGTTTTGGAGCCTGTCCTGGAACTAGCTCTGTAGACCAGGCTGGTCTCGAACTCACAGAGATCCACCTGCCTCTGCCTCCTAAGTGCTGGGATTAAAGGCGTGTGCCACCACCGCCCGGCTTCCTATGGTGGTTTTATATCCTCCTCAGTAATGGCCTATGCTTACATGTTTGCTCAGAAAATCAGTTTACATGGAAAAGAATGACAGAAAATATATAACGACAGGAAAATGTCTCAGCTGAATTGTTGGGGGGGACAAATTTGTAAGTAGGATGTATCTTAAAATATGACTTTTAGTTAAAAAGCATGAGTATTTAATTTTACCTGCTTAAAAAGAAAACACATTAGCATTGCTGAGGATCTCTTTTAACAGAAGACTTGAGAGGAAGCTGCCTCTTATGATTTTTCAGATTTGTATGGATTTTTCAGGTATTCATAATTATGCATTACCTTTATAAAAATAAATTTGCAAAAACATAGCTACTTTTTAAAATAGCATTGCTCACTGTGTGCCAGCAAAGATGATTGGTAACTATGGTAACCAAATTTTAAGGCAAAAGGAGATTACCACAAAAGTACCCACCACAGTTAGTTTGGAACTTCAGAGCTGATATTCTGGAGGTGATGTGGGTGGATAAAGCAAATGGGCACTGTCATCATCATTTGATTTAGTCACGGAAGGGCTGAGATCTATGCCACTGAAATATTAGGCTACCTGGAAGACTTGGAAGTTAGAGCAGCATGATCCTAGGATTTGTTTCCTGTTTGTTACTGTACTGGGTTTCTCACTGTAAAAGAACTCTAATGTGTGATAGGTGAGGAGAGTAGAAGTCCCATGTTAGCCAGAGATCCCTACTGCAAGGCAGGCCAGTTGGGCTAGAGCCCAGCTTACTAAAGTCCATGCTCTTGCCTCCAGGTGACTAGAACACATAGTAATTCTCTGGGAACATGTATTTCTACTCCTTAAAAATCTGGAACTGCTCATACTTATATAAGTTTCAGCAGAAGACATTCAAACGTCAATCATTACCTTCCTATTTTTCCTAACTTATGTATGTTTATATACATTTCACATTAATGAGGTATATATGTATACCGGTATGTATGTATGCATGTAGATGCCAGAAGACAGACTCAGGTGTTGTTCCCCAGTTTACTGTTTTTGAGACAAGGTCTCTTACTGGCCTAGAAATGGCCATTTACACTGACTGACTGCAGCAAGCCCACATGTTTGAACTTCTCAAGTACTGGGGTTACAAGTATACCATCATGCTCAACGTTTGTATGTGTGTTCCAGAGATCTAACTTAGGTCCCGGGCTTACACAACCCCTTCACTGAGTTACCTCCCAACCCCTCTCCCCCAGCTTTTTTTCTTCAGTACTAAGGATTGAACCCAGGGCCTCCTTACACCTGCTATACAAGACTCTACAGCTGAGCTATATCCCTAGACCCTTACTTTAAAAATTGCAACTATGATACTTTCAAAAGTTTGTTCCGCCAGGCGGTGGTGGTATGTGCCTTTAATCTTAGCACTCAGGAGGCAGAGGCAGGTGAATTTCTGTGAGTTTGAGGTCAGCCTGGTCTACAAGAGCTAGTTCCAGGATAGGCTCCAAAGCTACAGAGAAACCCTGTCTCGGGGGGCGGAAAAAAAAACACCAAACCAGAAGTTTGTTCCAGTTGGTAACTTTATTCCAGGTTAAACTGGTGTTTCAAGAAGGGACAGGAACAACCCATGCTGGATGCTGTTGTTAGACAGGAAATTTTGGGCTGTGCAGCACATATCCTGAGAAGCCTAGGAGAGCCCCATTTCTAACCCAGTGCGGCTGCTGGTTGTGCCAACTTTTAGTCTTCGTGTCTGGTTTGTACATCAGTGGCCTGGCTACTTGCCTTAGCTACAGTGCCTTCCTGTCACAACTTCCTGAGCTCATGGATGGTGAATTACTGCTTTTTTTTTTTTTTTTTTTTTTGAGGATAAGGGGACTCTTTTTTTTTGTTTGTTTTTGTTTTTGTTTTTGGTTTTGGTTTTTCGAGACAGGGTTTCTCTGTGGTTTTGGAGCCTGTCCCGGAACTAGCTCTTGTAGACCAGGCTGGCCTCGAACTCACAGAGATCCACCTGCCTCTGCCTCCCGAGTGCTGGGATTAAAGGCGTGCGCCACCACCGCCCGGCAAGGGGACTCTTGTAATGTCTTCTTGTTTGTCTAATTCCTTTTATTTAATACCAGATTAGTTCATATACTATAAATTATAGGTAAACAACAAAAGTAACATTTTAGTTGGGTACTGTTGACTACTGTAGAGAAGACATCATGGAAAGTCAGTGAAGTGAATGGCCATGGAGGGCCAGTTCTTTGTTATTAAGGTGGTCCCTTGCCACATGCTTCTCTCTAAGGCCTCCAATGAAGAAACAGGCTGACCAGCACATAGTCTGCTAATGTTTGGAGGAGCCAGATATGGGCTGAGGTCAAGAGTGTGTAAGCTGGCCCTACTATAGATGCAAGTGCGTGTTTGCACTAAGGAAAAGAAACACAGGAAAAGGGAGCCTAGGAAAAAAATGGTAATAAGTGATAAGAAGTTAAAGGAAATAGAGGCGAGAGTATTCTGGGACAAAACAGTTTAGACTCAAAGAAGCAATCAAAAAAAGCAGTCTGTTTCCTTCCTACAGAAAGTTTCAAGATAAAAAATGTCTTAAGGGAAACACCATCTATGACGCCATGCAGCTAGGTGTGGTGGTACTTATCTATCATCCCAGCATCTGGGACCTGAAACATTAGTATTAAAAATTCAAGGCTAAGGGCTGGAGAGATCGCTCGGTTGTTAAGAGCACTGGCTGCTCTTCCAAAAGACATGGATTCAATTCCCAGCACCCACATGTCAGCTCACAAGCACCTTGTAACTCTAGGTCCAGGGGACCTTCTACTGGTCTTTCAATTGGTGGACCGGTGTACCTGTAGACAAAGCACCCGTGTACATAAGATAAACATTTAACCAAGTTCAAGGCCAGCCTGAGCTACAGAATGAAACCGAGGCTGAGAAAAGGGGTGGGGCAGGAATCCAGTCAAAATAGCTTTATTTGGATGTCAATGGCTACAAAATAAGGCGAAAAACTATAAAACCACTAGGGAAAGCAGATGACACTTTGGTAATAAAGGGAAATGCTGTTAATCTCAAGTGTTTTGGGGATATGTGCACATGTATTTGCATTCTTCTGTTCCTTAATTCTTTCAGCATTATTTTTAATCAGGTTCTGATGAACTGCAAACGGGGCTTTCATATGAGACTCTCCACTGCAGCAGGAAGCAGTTTGTATCTGGCTCTCTAGGGCGGATAGTCTCATGACATCCAAATGGTCTTCTCTGCTGGAATTAGTTCACCAGGCTTCCAGTTGAGAAGTACCCTTAAATTATTCAGTGAAGCTCTTTGATCCTGTCTGTTGAGCTCTGCTTCATTTTGTTTCCCTCTCTGTCAGGGAAGCATCTGTAGATGCTGGGCTAGTTTCCAAAGCAATAAAAGGCACATCCCAGAACATGTAATACGCCCAGCATGAGCTGTATTCAAGTGGCCCAATTTATTGCCACAAACAGAAGGGAAAGAAGACATGGGTAGAGAGGCTTCTGGCAACACAAACTCCAGGGATTCCAAGGTGACAGTCATGATGGGAACGTGCTTCCCAACAGTGACTAGGCTTCCCTGGGTTCACCAAGACTCAGGCAGCTGCTTTCCTCCTCCTTCCCACCAAAAACTTCAAGCTGCCTTTTGGCTTCTTAGGAGGTTCAGAGGCACAGATGACTTTTGGAGGCTTTGCTATAACACTTCTCATCTTTAGTGTCCCTTGCATCAAACTTCTCCAGTCCTAGGGCAGATTAGCAACTCTTTATAAACAGAATTGTTCTTTTTGCTTGTTTGTTTTTAGAGGAACATGAGCTGACAGTGGATATGGAAACCATCAGCCTGGACCGAGATGCAGAGGTAATGCCGCCTGCGTGACTCAGCCTCAAAGGGCATGGTTACAGATGACCCTAGCTATCAGCTTCTTAAAGGTGGCAAATTAGTGACTAAAGAGATCACCCAAGACTTTTTTTGATTAGTTTGATTTCCTGTATTTTTAACACTAGCAGTTGAAATCTATTTCTGTTTAGATAGTTAAGACCTGTGTGACAAATGAAATGCTTTTGATTCAAGTTATATGTATCCAGTGGTCATATTGTTGATATGGGTCCTTAAACCCCCAATTTTGGAAAAGTGTGGATGTGGATATGTGTCCATTTGCTAGGGAATTGGATTCAGATTAACCACTGGGTCAGTTTTACATAAAACTAACATAAATCACAACTAAACAAAATGTCGACCTGCCAATCACAAATGGATCTACTAGCCTCACAGCCTCTCCCTTCCCTTCTCTTCTGGCATTCTCCTAAGCAGCTCCTGGCCAGGTCTCCAGAAACTCTGATGGTTCTAAGCAAAATTCCTCTGTGTTTCAGGATGTTGATCTGAATCACTATCGTATTGGAAAGATTGAAGGCTTCGAGGTGCTGAAGAAAGTGAAGGTGAGAGGAATCTGTCCTTGGCACACAAGGTGACTTGGTAACATTTACTTGGAGAATATGCATAATCCTTGTTCCCATCCTGTGGGTGACGCTGGCCTATATTCTCATGTTTCTCTTCTGAGTGGGACAGGTGGGAAGTCTGGGCTCTAGTACTGCCTTGGCGAGACCTTGCAGTCTCCTGTACTAGCTCACTACAGTTAAGTTTACTTCTCAAAATGGAGCCCAGTAAAGGTTCCTCCAACTGCGAGAACTTGACTTACACTCCAACCCTATTCAGGGCCTTCCTCCCCAAACAGGTATGCTCAATATGGGTCTTCCTGACTTTCCTTTGGGCCTATGCATGTTCTCAAGTAGAGGAGAGTAATTCCAGCTTCTTATCCCCACTCACTGCCCCTTGAAGGTCAGCATGAAATAGCCCCAGGAGTGTGGCCCTGTGTTTGCCAATGCTGATCCTCTTCCTATCCTCCAGTCACTCTGCCTACGTCAAAACTTAATTAAATGCATTGAGAACCTGGAGGAACTGCAGAGTCTTCGAGAACTGGATCTCTATGATAATCAGATCAAGAAGATTGAGAATCTGGAGGCGCTGACAGAACTGGAGTGAGTAGGGAGACCCAGAGGAGATGGGATGGGTTGGGTGACGAGGGTGACCTACCCACTGCCTGGCTATAGTCCTGGAGAGCTACCCTGTGCTAGAGCTCTAAGAGGGAGCAACAGTTTCTTACATGCCGTTAACATTGAAGGCTGAGTTCATTCAATAATGATGTAAGAACTGGGAAGTAGGATCTTTAATCCATAATCCCCTTTTTAAAAAACAAGTGTCAGCCACTACAGGGATCAGCTTTACCTGGCTATAGCCTTATCTGGCTTCATTCCTTTGTTGGTGCTGGCTTTTGTTTTTGTTTCTTTTTGAGATCATGTCTGAAGTAGCCCAGGCTGAACTGAACTCTCTGTAGATGAGATGATCTTGAATTTTGAGCCCTCTGCCTCCACCTCTCCAGTATTGGCCTTACAGACATGTGCCACCATGCCCATCTGTTTTGATTTTTCTTTGTTTCAGTTTTAGTCCAACACCACTCAGGTTGAACATGGTACTAGGCTCTGCCGTGGACACAGGCATAAATGAAGCCTGGTTTCTGCTCTAGATAGGGCAGTTAGGAAACAGTGTTCATAGCCTGCAGGTTGCCTTTACTGCCCTCCAGGCGCCAGACAGCTTCATGGTCCCATAGGTCAGCTCCAGTGTGAGCCAGTCAGTGAGTGATGGGGCCATGGTGAGATCCAACCTCCTAGTGACTGCAGATCCTGGAGGCAGATATCCTCTAAGTGGAATTCTGACTCCTATGTTCCTGTGTTCCTTCAAGAAATATTTTGCTTCTTTCCAGGACTCTAGATATTTCTTTTAATCTGCTAAGGAACATTGAAGGGATTGACAAACTGACACAGCTGAAAAAACTCTTCTTGGTCAACAATAAGATCAGTAAAATTGAGAACCTAAGTACCTTACATCAACTACAGATGCTGGAGCTGGGCTCGAACCGCATCCGAGTAAGTACAGATGGATCTGCAGTGGTGCACATAGGGTATGTGCTCGGCTGAGGCTTTGTTAGGTTCATGTTGTTTGGAGGATGCAGGGAAATAGTTAAGGAAAACTGTTAACTGGAAGCCAATATTTTTTTAATTCATTTATTTATTTTACATCCTGGCCACAGCCTCCCCTCCATTATTCCCTCCAGTCCCTCTCCACCATTCCTCACCCCCAACCCCTCCTCTTCCATCTCCATCTAGGAAAGGACACATCTCCTATGAATATCAATAAAACATAGTGTATCAAATTGCAGTAAGACTAAGCACCTCCCCATGTGTTAAGTCTGGGCAGGATGACCCAGTATGAGGAGTAAGGTCCCAAAAGCCAGTAAAAGAGTTGGAGTCAGCCCCTGTTCCCGTTGTTAAGAGTACCAAGCTACACAACTGTAACATATATGCAGAGTGCCTAGGCCAGTCTCATGCAGGCTCCCTGGTTGTCGGTTCAGTCTAGTTTCCGTCAGCCCCTGTGAGCCCAGGTTAGTTGATTATGTGAGCTTGGAAGCCAGTATTAATAAGAACTGTGCTCACACCGACTGATCTTGTCTGGTAATTAGCTTTCATGGCTCTTCATCTGTATCATGGTCCTGTGCCAAGCTAGTGCCAGCTGTGCTCCATAAAGAAAGCCAACTAAGCTTTTCTTTTAAACCTGTTCATAGTAGTTTTCTTTCATCTGTAACTGAGGTGTGTTTCACACTTGCAGTGATCATGTGATAAGCAAGATTTTTACAGCTGAAATGTCCCCCCAGAACACTGGGGCTGGTCCTTCATCCCCTAAAAATGTCCTCTGGCAGAATTTGGTTTGATGTTCAAGATCCATTTGACCTTGAAAACATGGGTCAGAATGAAAATGAAAGGCCTTTGAAAAAAGGAGTGCTACAGTGTTCCACAGAAACAAAACTAAGTCTTTTGAGATAGTGTCTCACTTACTGTGTAGCCCAGACTGTCCTAGAACTCACAGAGATCTCCCAGTACCAAGATTAAAGGCATATACTACTACACCCAGCAAAACCCAAGTTTTTGCCAGTTGACACATAACAGCTAGGGAAAGTGCCTTGTATCTGACAGTCAGGAACCTCAGAGGGTCATATAAGTTCTGATATTGGAAGAGGATCTGCCAGGCAGAAGAGGGAGGCTTACCCATGGGCACACACAAGGGTTTTGTCAGTCTTAAAACTATATGAGCCTAGTTTTGACATCTTGTGTCATTGTGCTGTGTCTATCCTCAGTCTGCTTGGTTAGTGACTGAGCAGGTATTTACATGCCTGTGTCTGCCACTCCATGTGTGAAGTAGCTCCCAGTTGGTGTTTGGAAGTACTGTACCACACTTTGTGGCCTGCCCTTATGGTTCTTCAAGAGCCATCAGGGTACAAAACCAGGACTAAGTAGATGTGACTGCACCAAGGAGAAGCAAGGGACGAGGAATGGGAACAGCCATGGGGCATCCCTCATGAACTTCTGAGATCAAGGTTCCCAGTATCTTGATTTCTGTAGAGGCCTAGGCTCATGGGAATGCATAGTCTCAAAAGCTGTGTAGAATGAAATGCCACTTAGGCCAGAGAAATCAGCGAGCTTATGAGTTTTCAAATAATCCCAGAGCTCTGAAAGTATGAGAGTTGGCCGGGTGGTAGTAGCATATTGCCTTGGGAGGCAGAAGCAGGCGAGTTTCTGAACTGGAGGCCAGCCTGGTCTACAGGTATCCAGAGTGAATTCCAGGACATCCAGGGCTATACAGAGAATCTCTTGTTTCAAGAAACGAGGGGGGGGGGGAGAGAAAGAGATTTTGGGTTTGGGAGTGAGCCCCAGGAATCAGTCTTCAATCCTCCATCATTTTCGTTCTTTTCCACACTGTATATTCAAGAGATAGTTCATTAGCAAGTTCCCAGAGTCCAAACATCACAGAGCTGAAGTCTTAGATTGCCTCATCTTATGGTCTAGATTCTTTACTTGATGTTTTGTCTGTTTGACAGGCAATTGAAAATATCGACACGTTAACCAACCTGGAGAGTTTGTTTCTGGGGAAAAACAAAATTACAAAACTTCAGAACCTGGATGCACTTACCAACCTGACAGTCCTCAGTATGCAGGTACTGGGCCTCACCAGCTCCCAGCTTCTCATTCTTACAGGGCCAGACCCATCACACTCAACCTGTTTTATTCCCTTAGTATGTCCGTGACCAACACTGTTTCACAGTCAGTAGATGGTGGAAACATTAGAATCCACAGATCATAGTACATACACATATATTCTAAACTAAAATTCTGTTCTTCTTATATAATTTATTTTTACTTTTAAGGATTTCAATTTTGGGAGATGGAAAGATGGTTAAGAGCACCAGCTACCCTTCCAGAGGATCCAAGTTCGATTCCTAGCACCCACATGGTGACTCACAGATGTTTCGTTCCACAAAATCTGACACATTTCTTCTGGCCTCCACAGGCACTAGTCACATATGTGATGATATACAGACAGACAGACATTCAGGCAAAACACCCACACACATAAATTTAATTTTTAAAAGATAGAATTTCATTCCTTGGACTGAAGAGATGGTTCAGAAGTTAAGAACACTGGTTGCTCTTCCACGCAATTCAGGTTCACTTCCTAGCACCCACATGGCAACTCACAAATATCTGTAACTCTAGTCCAATAGCCTCTTCTGGCTTCTGAGGGCACCAGGCGAGCATGTGATGCACAGACATACATGCAGGCAAACGTTTATGCACATAAAATAATAGTGATGTTCATTCCTTTCTCTATTGGCAGTTGAGCAATAAATGAACTCTGTGGCCATCTTTAGCAGGGAGAGCTCACTCCAGTCCTCTCAAGTGTATCTGTTCAGTGGCAGAACTTCTCTGTCCGTACTTCACAGAGAGGGCAGACCTTGTGAGACCATGGGTTTGAGGACAGTTCAGCTGGTCAGCACTGATGTATGTATAGGCTCGTTAACTTTTATTTTTAATTAAGACAAGGTCTCACTATGTAACTCTTGATGGCCTGGAACTCACTATAAACCAGGCTGGTCTCAAACTTACAAGAAATCCTGCTGTCTCTGTCTCCTGTATACTGGGATTAGAGGTGTGCAGCACTATGGCTGATTCATGTGGACTTTGTTGTTGGTTTTAGAGGTTTCGTTTTTGTTTGGCAGAATCAGACCTTGAAGGGTTAAAGGGAGATATGCCTGGGTGTGCCTGGGATGCCTTGTGTGGCAGGTCCCACTGACATGGCACAGGAACCTCATAGACTGAGTAAAACAAGTGTCTTACAGACGACTTCAAAGAGAAATTTTTGAATTGTAATTAAGTTGTAAGATACTCTAAAAGAAATGAAAATTGCTTCCTTCCAAACAAAAATGAGCCTGGCGGTGGTGGCACACACCTTTAATCCTAGCACCCGGGAAGCAGAGGCAGGTGAATCTCTGTGAGTTCGAGGCCAGCCTGGTCTACAGAGCTAGTTCCAGGACAGGCTCCAAAGCTACAGAGAAACCCTGTCTCAAAAAAAAAGTTAGGACAGGAGAGATGACTCAGTGAGTAAAGGTGCTTGTTGCCAAGCCTGATGATCTGAGTTCAATTCCCCAGGTCCCATATAATGGAGAAAACGGATTTCCTGCAAGTTTTCTGATGTCTACCAGTACACCCACATATACACATTACACATACTAAATATTCAAAACAAAAACAAAACCCATGATACTTTGAGGAGAGCTAGAAAGCAGTTGAGTGCTCTGGATGCTCTTCCAGAGAACCTGGGTTCATTCTCAATGTCCACATGGCAGCTCCAACAACCTCTTCTGGCCTCAGCACCAGGCATGCATGTGGTACACAAACATACATACAGATAGAACACCCATACACAAAAAACAAAAATGTTTTCATTGATACTTTTGAGATTTTTAAATTGTTATAGTAAGAGGTCCAGCAAGATGGCAGAGGAAGTAAAAGACTCCTGTTACCAAAACTGACCACCTGCCTGGCAGAGGTGACTCACACCTTTAATCTCAGCACTTCTGTAGAGGCAGGCAGATCTTTGTGAGTTCAAGGACAACCTAATATACAGAGCTAGTTTCAGGACAGCTCACACTGTCACACAGAGAAACCTTGTCTCAAGAAAACAAACAAACAGTGTAGTAGGAGCTTCGGGCCACTTCCTGCCAGCCACATGGCTAGCTTATGCCCCGAAATAACAACACACAAATTGTATTCTTTTAAACACTGCCTGGCCCATTAGTTTCAGCCTCTTATTGGCTAATTCTCACATCTTGCTTTAACCCATATTTAGTAATAAGTGTAGCAGCACGAGGTGGTGGCTTACCGAGAAGGATCTTAACCTGCGTCCATCTTGGAGAGGAGAGCTATAGCGTCTGCCTCATTTCCCTTCTTCCCAGCATTCTGTTCGGTCTTAATTAACCAATGAAAGCAACAGATAGATAGAAGACACTCCCACATCAAAACAGAAACAAAACAAAAAATCTGTATTCAATCCCTAGCACCCATATGATAAAAGGTGCAAATTGACTCTACAAGTTGTCCCCTGACCTCCGTGTACCCGCCATTACATGGTCATATGCACATAAATACACAAGACAAATCTATTTCTTAATTACTTCAAATAAACCTTCAGATACATCTAAAAAAAAGTATGATTTTCATATAAAAACCCCAAACTTCAACATGATATTCAACCCAGTACAACAGACCCAAAATGTTAGTCCTCTTCTCAAGTCCCATTTCAAGAATATTTTAATTTTTTGATTTTATTATGTTTGTTTGTTTTAGTTATACAGACAGGGTGTTTCTGTGTAGCTCTGGCTATCTGGGAACTTACTCTGTAGGCCAGGCTGGCTGCCTTGCCTCCTGAATGCCTATTTTTTATTTTTATATGTATGGCTGTTTTGCCTGCGTGTATGTCGGTGCTCTTGGAGGCCAGAAAAAAGCATCAGATACCCCGGAACTGGAGTGACAGATGATCATGAGCAGCTGTGTCCATTCTGGGAATGAAACCTAGGTCTTCTGAAAGACTAGCCAATGATCTTAATCACTGAACCACTTACCCATCCACCCCTACCTCCCAACACTTTTTAAATAAAATATGATAAATGGGAAACTTCATTTCTTTTTTTTTTTTTATTTATTATGTGTACAACATTCTGCTTCCCACACACCAGAAGAGGGCGCCAGATCTCATTACAGATGGTTGTGAGCCATCATGGTGGTTGCTGGGAATTGAACTCAGGACCTCTGGAAGAGCAGTCAGTGCTCTTAACCTCTGAGCCATCTCTCCAGCCCGGGAAACTTCATTTCTAAAGCCCTTGTATTTCTCACCTTCTGTGTAGCTGACTGCTCTTTTTCTTATCTTTTAATATTTTCCTGTGTGTGGTATGAATGTATGTGGTATGATTGTATGTGTATTCATGCACATTGTGTGTATGTGTTTGCTTGTGGAGACCCCAGATTAGATTAAATTTGGGAATCGCCCTTGATCGCTCTTCCACCTTATTCATAGAATGAGTCTCTTAGTCAAACCCAGAGCTAATTTTATGGCTAGTTTTGCTGACCAGCTTGCTCTGAGAATCACCTATCTCTGGGCTTCCATGGCTGGAATCACAGGCATGCCACCATACTCACCTGGCATTTATGTGGGTTCTGGAAGTTCAAATTTGGGTCTTCAAGCTTAAGTGGAAAATATTTTAACTACTTAACTATATCCTCAGCCCCAAGAATGATACTTTTTAATTCTCTTCTACAGAGCAATCGGCTAACAAAGATTGAGGGTCTACAGAGCTTGGTGAACCTGCGTGAACTATACCTCAGCCACAATGGTATCGAGGTTATCGAGGGCCTGGAGAACAACGTAAGAGCCCATTGGTCTGTCTGAGGGAGCTAAAGGGAGGTGAAGAGGAAGGGGCGGGTGCTGGCATCCACTGCCCTCCAGGCCTGGCCTCAGGTGGACATACTGCCAACAGGATGTGAGCTAAGGGCTCTCTACCCCAGTGAGTCAAAGGGCCAGCATGTCCCATGACTGCCTGTGGGGTTTCAACACAGCTATCACAGACAGACACCCTCCTAGGGCAGTTCACTGCACATCTGCCATGTATTCTAGGCCTTTGGGTGATTTAAAAAATCCTTACGTGCCCCTGTATCGCACAGATAGCTAACACAAGTATCATCAGCTCTGTCCTTCCCATTACTCCCTCTGGCCACTGAACTTCCTGCCTTACCTCAGCCTGTAAAGACTCCAGGGTGAGCCTAGCCTGCTTAGAAGGAAGAGCCATGCTCCCTGGCCCCACTCCTGGAGTCCAGAGTGCTGAAGGTCTCCTCCCCACTACCTTTCACCAATCTGTCCACTCCTCCCGCCCACCTCCAGCTTCCCATTCAAGAAGAGCTTCTCCTACTTACAGTTGCCTTTGTCTCACCTGTTTTTCCTCCAAGCATGATTCAAGACAAATAAAATATTCTTTCTTGTTCAATTTTACTGGGGTTGTTTTGTTTTGTTTCAGGGAAATGTTTTTTGTTTATTTGGTTGATTGGTTGCTTTTGTTAAATTGCCATCAAATGCAACAAGATTAGGTCAGGTTTTTGTTCTTGGAATCATCATTATTCAAATCTCATCATAGGTTCCTTTGCCCTTTGTGCCCCATCAGTGAAATTCTGGAGGAAAACCAGTGTTCTGAGTTTTAGTTCATCACTTGTATAAGAATTTTCAGGAAAGCTAAAATTTACCTGTTCAAAGTTTGGTAACCTTCCTCTAACTTTGTAATCAAATTAGGAATTTAGCTAGCATATGAAGCCAGGTGTGGTAGCACTCACCTATAATCACAGCACTTGAATGACGAAAGCAGGAGAATCAGAAGTTCAAGGCCAGCCTTGACTACTTCCTGAGTTCAAGGCTAGCCTAGGCAGCGTGAGACCCTGTCTCAAACACACATAAAACAATTAAAACCTGCGTGTGACCTTCTGTAGTGTAGGATGGTAGTTAAAAGGAGAGCCAGAGGCAGCAACTGGAGCAAGGGAACTTCAGAAAGCCTTGGGGCTGGGTGGGGTGAACACACTGACAGAGCACCAGTACCTCTGCTCCTCACAGGTAACAGTCCCCTCTAGGGGACCAGCATGTCTATCTGCTCTGTAATTCTCTCATGGTACAGGTCTGTCTTCAAACAGGAAAGAAGTGTGAGTGTAGAGTCTTACCCAAGGCATCTTATAGCTAAGTCTTAGTTACATGTCATGTCTGAAATAGAACAGAAATACTGTGTTAACAGTAACTGTCATCGTAATGTTTACCTTGATCAAATGTGACAGTCTTTCAGACTTATTTCATTATAAGTATTTACCTAATGTTCTCCCAAGTTTTATCTTAATCAAGAATTTACTTTCATGGTGGGAGAAAAACAAGTAACTTTTCCCAAGTGGCACGTTCACTGTCACTGGCCCACTTATCAAATGTTCTTTCTTTCTTTCTTTCTTCAGTGTCCCAAGGCACCTGTCTGGTGGATTTGGCTCTTCTGTGCCCTGAGATTTTTCCCTTCGTTAACCTAAAATGTTTATTCTGGCTCTTGACCTGGGTGTTTCTTTATCGTGTATATAAATTGCCTTCCCTACCCTGTTGTGTTGTTTTGTTTTTAATTTTAAAAAAAATCTTGTTTGATTTTGAATAAGCACTCAAATCCTCAAGCAGAAGGGGATTGAGTGTATAACTAGATCTCAGGTCAGAAAGGTTAGTGCGCCGTCCTGGGGGCCAGAGTCCACCACCAGCACTCTTCCTGCTGAGCCTTGGACTCAGATCTATCGTGGGTTTCAGACTACTACTGTTTTGCTAGTTTACAGTCTTGCTCATTGAGCTGTCACAAGTGCTGGGGAAGGATTCCGTTGGTGGGCTTGTTCTGTCCCAGCCTGCTGTGTCCTCGGGTTGACACTCTAGCCCCATATTGTTGTTTTATGGCTCTGTTGACTCTGAAGCTCAACGAATTGTTACTTGGTACTCTCATACCTGTGCTGTGTATCTGGAATCAGTGCTTCTAGCATGTGTGCCAGTGCTTGTGTGATGCTTATATGGGATGTGGAGGCGGGTAGGGTGGTACTGTGGAACCTTCAAGGGATTAGGAAGCCACACCTGTGACATTTTTTAATCAATAGCTACTGACTATGAATTTTTTTAAAATTTCCATTAAAACTTGGAAAGGTTTGGGATCAAGATACCAGGAATGCAGTAGAAAACAAGGACCATGAGTCTCTAAAGTGCTGAGAGATCTTTAGAGCAGATGAGGGAAGGACTTCCAGCCAGCTGTAAGATTGCCATGGAGTCTAGGAAAGCATCCCAGTGGTTTGTTAAAACATATTGGCAAGCACTATAAGTTACGGTAGACTTAATTTTCACCATGACATTGTTCTGCTGTTGAATCTTGAAACTATAACCATGAAAACAATTATAAAGCCAGGCAGTGGTGGCGCATGCCTTTAATCCCAGCACTCAGGAGACAGAGGCAGGTGAGTCTCTGAGTTCGAGGCTAACCTGGTCTACAGAGCTAGCTGTTAAGATACCCAGGGCTACACAAAGAAACCCTGTCTGGTGTGGGGGAAGGAGAGATAGGGCACAATGCTGTATCTTGCAGGTTACTTGGTACCCACAGACACCATCTTCAGCTGCTAAGGTCCCACTTGCCTTCATTGCTTCCCTAAGTTCTAGCAGGCCCCGATATTAGCCCTTCAGTACCTAGGCCTTCCTGGCATCGCCCCAGGTAGCTTTGACCAAGACAGGAAGGCCTTGGGGGCTGGAGAGATGGCTCAGAGGTTAAGAGCACTGACTGCTCTTCCAGAGGTCCTGAGTTCAATTCCCAGCAACCACATGGTGGCTCACAACCATCTGTAATGAGATCTGGTGCCCTCTTCTGGCTTGCAGGCATACACACAGACAGAATATTGTAAACATAATAAATAAACAAATATTTAAAAAAATCAAATGAAAAAAAGAAAGCATATTTAAAAAAAAAAAAAACAGGAAGGCCTCTTTGTTATTCCTCCCACTTCTACTGTGTGCCTGGAGTATCTTGTCCTCACCCAAACCTCAAGCTCCTCAGCCTCACTGAAGAAAGGAATTCCACTGTCAGTAATTCAGCGCTGTATTTCCTCACAGTAATCACTAAAGACTTGCTACAACGGTTGTCATTCCTTCCTCAAAGCTCAGAGTCACTGCTCTCCCCAGACCCCAAGAACAGGAACAAGGGTTTTACTGGGGTCCTCCACAGTTCAGGAACGGTGAGGGCTTCATGAGGTTTTGAACAAAAGCACTGCATCAGGTCCAGCTGAGGAAGCCACAGGAAGTGGGTAGGTGGTATCAGTCTAGCTCTATCAAAGTCACCCCAAGGCACATAGAGGGTAGCTATGCAGTCTTCAGCTCAGCCTCACACTGTTGCATGTGGTTGCATGCTGCTATTGAAGTTCAGTAATCCAGAAAAAATTTTCTTATTTTAGAACAAACTCACCATGTTGGACATTGCATCAAATAGGATAAAAAAGATTGAAAATATCAGCCATCTAACAGAACTGCAAGAATTCTGGGTAAGTCTTAAACATAGTGGGATTGGCATCTCTCTCTTTGGCTCAGTGGGTCCTGTTGAGTAAAACATGTGAATGAATGAAAGTCTGCTAGTCCTGGAAGCCTTGATGCCCAGTGAACCGTGCCTGTGTCCTGGGGATCAAATGCAAGTTGTTTCATGTGCTGTTACCCACTGAGCCATCTCACCATCCCTGCCTTCGATTTTTTTAGTATACTATTATAGATATATCATTTCATTTATTTGTTTGTTTGTTTGTTTTGAGGCAAGGTCTCCCTGTGTAGCCCTGACCATTCTGACATCACAGAGATGTACCTGCCTGTACCTCATAAGTGCTCTGATTAAAGGCATGAGCCACAGTGCCCAGCTGAGCTTTAAATATGTAAATGTATAGTTTTTGTGAAATAAAGAAAACAAAAATTTTTTCCCTCTAAAATTTTTCCAGGTCCTCCCAACCCTTAGTTTCTTCTGAAACACAGCATATGTGTGTTAGTCCTTTGGTAATTAGATCATAGCACATCTGTTGCTCGTCTACCCCTCCTTTCCCCAGGCTTTGCTCTAGATGAGCCTCAGTTTATGTGATTTCTTTTTCTTTCTTTCTTTCTTTTTTTTTTTTTTGTTTTGTTTTGTTTTTGTTTTTCAGAATAGGGTTTCTCTGTGTAGCTTTGGAGCCTGGCCTTGAACTCACAAAGATCCGCCTGCCTCTGCCTCCCCAGTGCTGGGAATAAAGGCGTGCACCACCATTTCTATTGCTCTGTCTTCAAGATGTATTTTCCCTTCTGCAGTACCCAGTCTGCTTTTAAGATCATTATTTAGCTACTTCAGTTTTTGGAGGCTTACATATTTATTTGTGTTTGTGTCTTTATAGTACATAGGTATATGTATGGGTGCCTATGCCTGTGGGTGGCACAGAAGGTAGCTGTGATTTCCTCTGTCATCCTCTGCCTGTTTATTTGAAGCAGAGTTTCTCCCTGAACCTGGGTCTGGCATTTATTTTCTCACTCCACTAAGCTGGAAGCTAGCAAGCCCCGGTGATTCCATGTCTGCCTCCTTTGGAGCTACGGTTACATACACATGCAGGGTGCCTGACCTGTTACACAGGATCCAAACCGTGGTCCTCATTATGCAGCAAGCACTCATAACCCTGAACCACCTCTCCAGCTCTAGGTTCATGGTAGCAGGAGTGCACAGCTAGACTCTGGACCCCTCACAGCCGGGAAGGCTGAGAAATAGAGCAGCATCTCATGATACGGCTTTTCACCTTTTTATTCAGTCCAGGATCCCAGCCCAAAGGGACGATGCCACCCATATTCAGGGTATGGCTTCCTTTCTTGGTTAAACTTCTTTGGAAGTCCTCTCAGACATCCCTAGACATCTCCTAAGTGAATCTAAACCCAATCATGTTGACAGTGAAGTTAATCATACCTATTTGGTGAATTTTTGTTCTGGTTGTCCTTTTGGCTCTTTGAGAACATATTGTTAAGGTTTTTCTTATTTTAGTTAATATATACGCATCTGTGTCTGAGTATGAATTGTGAACACGTGAGGACCTGTGCCTGTGGAGGCCATAAGATGGTATTGGATCTCTGGAACTCAAGTTACAGGGAGTGTGAGCCACCTGATATGACTGCTAAGACCCAAACTCAGACCCTCTACGAGAACAGCACTTGCTCTTAAACTCTGAGCTGTCTCTTCAGCCTGTATTGTTCTTTTTTTATTTCTCACAGATTGGATTTCTTATTAGATTTTTATGTTTCTTTGTCATTTCTTCTTTACATGGCTAGTAACTTCTTGTATGCTGGGTATTGTGAAACTAAACAGTTGTATGTCAGATTTGTGTTGTTTTTCTGCAAAATATATTGGACTTTGTATCTAGCAGGAAGTGAAGTCACTGCTAGACTTCAAGGCTTATTGCTGGGGTGAACTTACATGTTTTGTCCTCTTAGGCTAACCAGCTCTATCCCTGTGTATTGCCCCTCTATGACCTCTAGTAAATGTCATGGGGGCCACAGACATGCCTCCACCCCATGCGGGCCCTGGTAGATTTCAGCCATACTCCCTACTCTCTGTATATGCCTTAGTCTTTGCTTCAGGATATAAGAAGGGAGACAGCACAGGATTTCTGGATTTTGTTTTCCTATATAGCTCACTCTTAACTAGAAATTCTGACATCCCCTCTCCCCACCTAAACATAATTCCACTTGACTTCAGTGCGGCTTCCAGAGCTTGTTTGACTCCCCTTCCTCATAAGAGGCCAGCCAGGGTGACCATAGCACTCACCCATTTGTTTTTCCTCTCAGGAATCACTGGTTTGCACCGCCTGTTGTCCAGCTTATGAAAGCAGCTGTCCCTACACCATGCCCTACTCTATTAGTTTATAGTCTAGCAACAGTTGCTCCAGTGTTGATTGAAGCTGAAGCTATATTTGCTTAATTTTGTATTTATGTCTCACCATTATTAAATGTCATGAAGACCAAAGAACAAAGTTGTTTAGGACTTTTTAATCTTTAAAAAATATAACCTAAAAGTTATTATCTGAACCTTCTTAGTATAGAATAGAATGTTGTGAAACACAGTCATGTTTGTGTGGCCACCACCACCATGCTTGTCTTACAAAACTGAAACTGCCCTCGCTAAATACTAATGTCCTTCTCCTACCATTCTCCTTTCTGACTTTATACAGTTTTTGACCTTTTCTCACTGGCTGTTCTCCAGGCTCTTCCTTGTTTTAGCACAAGTGAGATTTTCCCTACTTTTGAAGGATGAGTACTATTCTATTCTATATATGTTGTTTCTTCTTTTGTCTCACCAACCTTTAGAACAATGCTTGATACAGATCTGGTGAGTCCAAAAGAGGGAGTTAGGGAAGGAAGGTTTGTCATTTGAGTAAGGCTAACCGTGTTAATGTTAGAACCGAGCTTACACATGTCAAGTGAGAGGTTAGCATTCTGCTGCTAGAAACAGAAGTAATCATTGCTGGCACTTCCTAACTTGTTCCATTTTTAAAAAACAATGAGATACAGCATTTTGTCCGTGAAGTTGGCAGATTTGTGAAATATGAATGCAGCCAGTCTGTAGTACAGCAACCCCTGTGCTTAGCACAAGTATTTGGAAGCATTTAGAACCATAAACATACCCACTCACTAAAGCATGGTGGTGACACATCCAGGATCCTAACAAAATGATGAGACATACATGTAAAGAAGTAGTCATGTGTCATACAATAGGACACTTCTGAGAAATACATCATTGGGAGCTTTTGTTATATGAACATCATAGAGTACACAGACAACAACAGCTATGATGTCTCTAGATAACACCATGTAGGGCTCGGCTAGATGGACTTGGGGTCCAACATGACGCATTGTCTTTTGTTGGCCAAAATGTCATCAGGTGGCACATGATTTGTTTCCCATAGTAGTAAAAGCTTTGTTGCATTTCTTGATAATAAAAATGCATGTTTATTATACATAAGGTCAGGTTTAAAGAGGAAAGAAAAGCCTTTTTAGCATATATCCTATTCATCTTTTAGATACACTTTTTAGATGCATTATTATATATGAAACCTAGGAACATTTCACATGATGCATGAGTATGGTGGTCACCTGAAAGGCCAAGATTACTTTCTATAATGTATGGGACCTTAAAAGTGACACGAAAACAACCAGTAGAAAAATAGCAGGCAGGTAAGTATGGGCAGTGTGTAGCAGTTTGTCTTATTCCTGCTACTTGAAATGTTCCACGGTTACAGTCTGGACCTAGGACGGATGGCACAGGTCCCTCGAGGGCCCACTCCTCTGCCTCTTATCCTTACCAGACTGGTAAAGCAGAACATCACGCTGACCAAAATCTACAGCAGGAAGGAGAATCTGGTGCAGCAGCCTACTTGCTGCTGACACCTACTCTGGCAGCACACATTGCCTGTGTGTCACCAGCAAATGAGTGAATCAGATGCTTCTCTTCTCTCAATGTGCCTCTGCTGGCCTCAGCCCACTGGGCCTCTCGGAACTTCTGTCCTGTGTTTGCAGTCAGTGGTAAGCAGCCTGGTAGTACCTGGCCAGTGACTTAGTGGTTGCTGGCAGAAGCTGTATAGCCCAGCCCAGCATCCTGCACACTGACAGCTCTCTCACACACACCCACACACAGCTACTCTCTTCTCTGCAGACATTTGTAATTAGTTCACACTCTCCGATACCACTTCAGTCTGTCTACACTATTGGTGATACCAGTGTCCCTGTAGGTGATCTCTCTAATGACCTAACATCTCCGTTCCTCCACCTCTTCATCTTTATACCCTTTTCCAAGAACTTCAGACTCATATTGGCCTGGTTACATCCTGATTCCACTTGACCTCACTTCTTCCGTTGCTCACCCATTGTCCCCTCTCAGTTCTCCTTCACAGCCAGTCCTTGTCTAGCCTGGCAGCAGGGGTGGACCCTTATCCACTGAAGTTGAGCCAGACAGAGGGGCAGCAAAGGGGGCTTATGATGTCAGGCTTGGACTTGCCCTGTTAGGTGATTGCCTGTGTGGAGCAGACATCCATCTTCCTGAGCCTGCTGCAATTAAGCATGCAGCCACCAGCATGGTCTGGAAGCCAGCATCTGGGTATCCCAGTGGGTCAGTGCCCAACTCTGTCCTTTATATGCTACTTTTAATCCCACTGTACCAGTGGACACATTCCAGATTCAACATCCTTTCTATTCTGCATCTTTCTTCCACCTCCCAACAACAATTATATTTGATTCCTGTACATTTCTCAAAATAGATAGCCAGCCACTGGCCCTCCATTCTCCTGTCTCCCTGGGTCTTTCTTGGTTGACTTTGCTTCTTTTCTGTTCTGCACCCACAGGAATGCTTCAGCATTCAGTCTTCACTTTTATTTCTCCTTGACAGCCCTATCCAGTCTCACAGATTTAAATGTCACCACTGTGCTCCTGGCAGCCAGCTTCTGTTTCTAGCTCCACTGTCTTTCCTGGATCCAGCTGTCTGCTCTTGTGTTGAGCCATCATCCAAATAGGACAAGGCCAAGCCCGAGCTCATGCATTATCCCCACAGTCCCTCAGTGACTCTGCCCTTCCAGATCCTCAAGCCAGAAGTCTTGGCACCCTCCTAAACGTCCCCTTTCCTGTGTACCAGATCCACTCCAACATCTAAATATTTGCTCTGCCTTCAAAGTGCATCCAAAGCCCCGGTCTCTTCCCACCTCTGCTGCTGCCACTTGCCCAGCATCCTTTCCCTGTACTGTTCTGATGGCCTTCTGGCCTGAAGCCCTGCATCTACCCTCCAAATAAGATCCTTGTGCTTGCTTTGGCTGCACATATACTACATTTTGAACAATACAGAGATTAGCATGACTCTCATGCAAAGATGACAGACATTTATGAAACATTCCATATCTTTATTGTGTATGAGTTAATAAAAAGACAAAGCTGGGCGATGGTGGTGCGCGCCTTTAATCCCAGCACTAGGGAGGCAGAGGCAGGCGGATCTCTGTGAGTTCGAGACCAGCCTGGTCTACAAGAGCTAGTTCCAGGACAGGCTCCAAAACCACAGAGAAACCCTGTCTCGAAAAAACAAAAATAAATAAATAAATAAACAAACAGACAGACAAGAACTAGGGCAAAAAGCATTAAGAACCTTCTAGAAAAAAATCCTGTATGGACTCCCATTCCATTTAGGAATAAAAGCGTAATTCCTACAAAGTTCCATGATCCCCTCAATGGCTCTCACTGTTGTTTTGCCCATCCCTTCCCTACCTTTCTCCACAAATATTATCACTCTGCCAAATCCCGCATTCTTCAGGGCTTCACACAGGATAGGGCCCCATGAATCATCAGTGCAGGAGAAACAACAGTCCCAGAACCTATACTGACCAGGTGCTTCAAACCCAAAGGAATGGTACCAGGTCAAGTCCTATGGACAGTGAAGTCTTAGGACAAGTGCCTGAGAAGCTCTTACATGGAAATTAATCTAGTTCTTGAAATGCCCCCCTCCACTGCATTCTCATCCAGTGACCCTTCATCCTGATGCAATCTTTCACTTCCCCTCCGCTTCACATGTAGCCTGTCTGTCCCACGGTAGGTTCTCAGACTGCAGAGGTCATGTCTCCAGGAGTGGTACCCTGCTTCTTCCTACAGCTGCTTGCTGCAAACCCTGGAGCCTATAGTATCTACAGACATGACTTCTGACAGAAGTCATGGGCAGAACAGGAGCCGCTGGCAGAGTCCTAAAGTTTGATGCTAGACTTGGCTCCTCTGTTCAGGCTGTTGACATAGCAGCTAGTCCTGACTTTATTTTCTGTCTTCAAACCCATAGGTGCAGTAACCCTAAGTGACATGAGTGTCCATTGTGCACACTCCTAACATCTATAGTTAATCCATAGTTAGTGGTGTCATGTTGGTGCTAAGTCAGCCATGGTACACCATAGAAAGTAGCACATTCAACTTACCATGATTTTTCTCTATCCTGTAGAACAAGCTGTTGCTTAAACATTTGCTAGCTTACCATGACCCACATCTAGGTGGCTACTTTGCCCTTCCCAAGCCTCTGCCTCAGCACTTAGACTGGAAAATGGGTTTGGATAGTTTAACCTGGTACTGTAGGTTCTTACCCAAGGTAGCTTTGTCTCAAAATTTGATCCCAATGTGAAACAACATGCATCTTTGAACAGTGTGGGAGTCATCCAGTTCGGTCTCATCTTGATGGCACATTTGAAAAGAGAGAACACCCTCCTGCCATGCTCAGACCCCAGCCCACTGTAGGGTTCAGTGTCCCTCATCTGGTGTTGGCACTGTTTGTCAGCCTTTGGTGGCCTTTGCATACAGGAGCTAGACATTCTCAGAAATGTACCACAAAGGTGATCTAAGAGTCATGTTTGGAGTAGAGCAGCCTCTGGCCAGCTGCATTACAGTCAGTGCAGTCTCAGCATTGGTAGCAATTAGTGAAAACCAGTGTGTAGGAAGAGTAGCCAGGCCCGCTTCAGATCTGCTTGAGGGCCAGGTGTACAGCCAGCGCCACCCCGCTCTTCTTAATGAACTTAGTCTGCGTGTGAGCAGGTGAAGCTTTCCCGTTGCTGCTAAAAGGCAACCAGGAAGAGCCAAGTGATGACAGAAGGATCTGTGAGGGATTGGGGTAAGGAGAACTATAGAGCCATGGTTCTCAACCTGTAGGTTGCAACCCCTTTGTCAAACATCTTCTCTAGAAATATGTACATTACAATTCATAACAGCAAAATTACAGGTATGGAGTAGCAACAAAAATAAATTAATGGCTGGGGGTCCTCGCAACATGAGGAACTATAGGATCACAGAATTAGGAATGCTGAGATCCAGTGCTGTGGTGTGTTTTAATGACCCCGTCTCATATTTGGGGATCCCGGCACATAGGGGCCAGAGCTGATCTATAACAGCCTTTTCCTCGTGTTCCTCCAGATGAATGACAATCTCCTGGAAAGCTGGAGTGACCTTGATGAGCTGAAGGGTGCCAGGAACCTGGAAACCGTGTACCTGGAGCGCAACCCCCTGCAGAAGGACCCACAGTACCGGCGGAAGGTCATGCTGGCCCTACCCTCCGTGCGGCAGATAGATGCCACATTCGTCAGGTTCTGAGTCCTCCTTGCTCCTCACCTGGTCCCTCTCCTCGAAAGAACTTCCCAGCCACGGTTTTTTAATCTACCTATTGCTCCTGAAGTCGTCACTATACCAACAGTCACAACCCAATGGCAATAATAAGGCACTGGTGGTAGTTGGCCTATGATGCCACACACCATTTGGAGATGCCAACACTATTAAATCTTGCCACGCGGTCTTCCTGGTGAATTAGTGACGGTTATTATAGCCATGGAGAGAATGCAGGACATGTTACAGTCATTTGTTCTTCTTGTCTGTCTATGTCCTTTGCCTGGTGGGCATTTCGGGCTGCTACAGCAGGCCCTCAAGTCAGTTTGCAGGGTTTAAGCAGTCATGACCCACAACAGCACATTTGATAGTCTTTCAGACCAATTTTGGAAAGAAAAAAAAAATGTATTTAAAAAAAATTGAGTAAAATCTGGTCGGATCTCAGATGCTGTAGCCCTTTAAGCCTTCCCATCATGAGCACACTGGGCACTGTATGACCCTGTTCCCACTTGGTGAGAGCCGAGATATGGAGAGCGTCATCACACACCCCCAGCTGTGCTGAAACTAAGTGGTTCTTAAAAACATAAGTAACTAAGCTCTCGGCCACTAGTCACATGGCCTCCTATTCTTACCCATGATCCTCTTGGCCTTATTATATGACATTTCTCTGAGCAAACCACTAGGGCATGAATCTAATGCTGCACAGGCATTATCATCCCTGGGAGCCTCAAATCTCCTGTTTCACACAGTAAGGACTGAATATGGTCACCGCAGGCTCCTCAACTTCCAGGATTCTCATTCTACACAGTCTAAGATGGGTCCCCTAACTGCCATATCTGAGTCCGTTGAATTTATTTTATCATCATTTGTGCTCACACTGCGTCTCTTCGTTTCCGTCATTACAGAAGGTTCTAGGCAGCACTGCTCTAGACTTTGTTCAGTTTCGGGACAGCCTGCCTTGTGCTGTGAAGCCTGTGCCCAAGTGTCCAAGCTAACCAGTTGGCCAGCTGACAAGAAGTTTGTAACATCAGAATGCTTACATGGGATTTAACATCCATTCACTATTCTAATTCTCACCAAAATAAACTGTATGATCTGAATCTGTGCGGCATCTCCCTGTCATGAAACAAGCTCTTAGCAAGAAAAGGTGGGTGGAGCAGCATGTCGAGAACATTGTGCCATAGCCCTGGGAGTTCAGAAGGACCGAAATGTAGGTGTCTCCTCTGCAGCCACAGGAGCCCTACACACGTGCACATGATTCTGTAGCGTGTGTAGAGAAGTAATACTGAGGGAACAGCAGGCACCAAAGTGGCACAACCATCTCGAGGATCATCTGCAACATTCAGTGGGAGGAGAATCTTAACAGTTAAATAGAGTGGGCAGGGGAAATTTTCTCCAAGTGAATTCAAAATCTAGAAGTAGGAAGAAATGTCAAAAAGTTATTCCTTAAGCCAGCAGTGGTGACACGTGCCTTTAATACCAGTTCTCTGCAGGCAGAGGCAGGTGGATCTCTGAGTTTAAGGCCAGCCTGGTCTGCAGAGCAAGTTCCAGGACAGCCAGGGCTGTACATAGAGAAACCCTGTCTCAAAAAAAAAAAAAAAAAAAAAAAAAAAAGTTATTCCTTAAAATAGTTCTAGGTCCCAGAAAGAATCTCCAGAGTGGAACTAGCTAAAAGTTCAGTTTACGTTGAGAATGCCCCTGCTAAAAATATGGATAAATATAATGTGAGAAAAGAAAACACTGGGGGGTTGGAGAGATGGCTCAGCTGTTAAGAGCATTGCCTGCTCTTCCAAAGGTCCTGAGTTCAATTCCCAGCAACCACATGGTGGCTCACAACCATCTGTAATGAGGTCTGGTGCCCTCTTTCTGGCCTTCAGGCACACACACAGAAAAAATATTGCATACATAATTAATAAATAAATAAATACACTGCTTTTACATAGGGATATAAATGCAAAAGTCTTAAATAAAAGATCAGCAAGTCAAAAGATACTGCTTCTTAGCCGGGCGGTGGTGGCGCACGCCTTTAATCCCAGCACTCGGGAGGCAGAGGCAGGCGGATCTCTGTGAGTTCGAGACCAGCCTGGTCTACAAGAACTAGTTCCAGGACAGGCTCCAAAACCACAGAGAAACCCTGTCTCGAAAAACCAAAAAAAAAAAGATACTGCTTCTTGACCAAGGTTTTATCTCAGGAATGCAAGGATGGTTTAAGAATAGACAGGACTGGGCCTGGGGTATAGGCCTGTAATCCTAGCTACTCAGGAGGCTGAGGGAGGGGGATTAAAAGTTTAAGGCATGCCTTGGCTACAGAATGACATCAAGGCCAACCTAGGCAACTTAATATAACCGTATCTCAAAAATAAAAAATAACAAGGGGTCTGGGAATATAGCTCAAGAATAGAATACCTGCCTAGCATATCAGAGACCCTGTTCAATTTCAGATGTTAGGGGAAGAGAAAGGAAACAAACCATTTCTATAAATCACCATTTAGTGCAGTTAAAAAGCAAACCACCAATTATCTTAATGTTATAAAGACTTAGCTGTATATATCCCTGGATTTTTTTTCAAGGAAAAACTAATTATTGTTGTTGTTGTTATATGCATGATGTCAGTGTGTGTTGTGGGCACATATGTGCCATGTGCACCGTGTGCACTTCCAAGAACAGATCTGTAGAGTCGGTTCTCTCCTCCCCCTTTTTGTGAGCTCTGCACTTGAACTTTGCTTGTCAGGGTTGTGCAGCAAGCCATTACCTGTTGAACCATCTCACTGGCTCCTGTATTCATGAATTGTAACATTTTTATTCCTTTATAAATAAAAAGATGTCTTAAAGATTGTAGAATCTGATGAATAAATTCAAGCCATGGAGAAAGGCCAATGGGTAAGAAAGCTTGTTCTGCAAACCTGAGAACCTGAGTTTAAATCCCCATCCCCACATCAAAAACGGAGCATGGCTTCTGACCAAGATTACAATACTGTAACTTTAGAAGAAGATAGCTCTGTTGAAGAGTGTCTGTTTAGACTATGCAAGGCCCTAATCCCATTGCCGGGAGTGGGAATGACTGAGGGTGGGCACTTTCCCCACTGGCTGACATACTTATTTTTTATTGTCACTGTGATAGACTTATCTTGAAGACACAGCATAAGGCAGGGTTTAACCTAGCTCATGACGCAATGAACATAGTGCCAGCAGGAGAAGCTTCCCATGGCAGCAGTGGGAACTGACATCTACAGTCAGAAGCAAAGCTAGGTTCTATGTCCCAAAGGTTCCGCAGCCTTCCCTAATAGCACCACCAACTGGGGGCCAAATATTGAAATGTGTAAGCCTCTGCGGACGTTTCATCTTCCAGTAGCACACACACATTCACATACGAAAAGCTACCATGCTGTATTTCATCAGATGTGCATACCATGGATTGTAAGATACTGGCACTTTATGAACCATTAGGAAACCCTGACAATTAGTTGTACACCGTATGCTCAGTCCAGAGATATTGAAATGTGAAAAATGAAGCAAATCGCATAAATACCAGGGCTAGAAACTACAAACGATCACTGAAACGGAAACAAAGCAAGTAGAAATCGATACAAGGTATGCTTCCCGCAGGCAGGAACAGATCTGTTACATAGGTAAAGTAACTGGTGAAGCATGGGAAAATATGGATAGAATTACACTGACTTCCTTCGACTAAAACCCAGACTTCGGAATTTGCTACCTGATAAAAGAGCCACCATTAAGAAGGGCCCCCTGGCTGGAGAGATGGCTCAGTGGTTAAGAGCACTGACAGCTCTTCCAGAGGACCCGGTTTCAATTCCCAGCACCCACATGGCAGCTCACAACCGTCTGAAGATCCAGTTGCAGGGAATCTGACACCTTCGCGCCAATGCACATAAAATAAAGTTAAATAAACCATAAATTATTAAAAAAAAAAAAGAAAGAAAAAGGGCCCCTCTTACCAAAAGCCACATTCCAAACAGTAAAGTAGCAAGCTCTTATGTCTCAGCATCTCTGCCTATGGTAGAGCATGACTAGCTACTAAACAAGATTTACTTCTGATTGTGAGTAAGTAGCCTGAGTACTGTGTCCCTTCAAGGTTGTTCCCCCAAGAACCCAGCACACCAGGAGGCCTCTGCTGGAGGAACTGGGACCACAGGTGAGTTCTCCCTTCGCTGGACCCTCCAGAAATGACCTCTCCCAGTCCCCAGTCAGAGGATGGAAGGTCTTAGAGTCTGTGTTCACCCCTGTCTTCACCCTCCTATTCAGAGACCTGCTCCCCTGTGCTTTTCTATCCTGGTCATCCCAGACCCACCTGCCAGCTCTCTCGGTCCCTGTCCAGCTCAGCTCTGCCAGCTGGGATCAGGAATGTTGGTTGGCACAAGGCAGTGTCTCATCACACTCCCAAACCTGCTGCAACTTCATCTCTACCACCATGGGTCATGAGACTGCAGAGGGGCAGCCAGGGACCTGCTTCCTGCCAGGTGGGGGCAGAGGGTTAGGGCCAATCTATGGCCCCTACCCTGTTTCCCTCTCCTTGCCCCTGCGCACCAAGCCTGGAAAGGGTGTTTTAGTAAGGGGAGAGGTAGGAGCACCCTAGGCAGGTGCCAGACCAAGTGTGGTCTAGCAGATTACAACATTCCTCATGGACAGAGAAAGATATCGCTGGACCTCTGACCTTGTGAGATGTGGCCTGAGAGATATCAAAACAGTCTGGGGACAGCAGGCTGGAGAGATACAGGGAACCTCCAGGGTTAGGTGTGGGAACCTGTGACCCAATTTGCTAGGACCGCAGCCTAGAGAGAAAACAGACCAGGGCCCTGAGGCCAACCCACCTAGACATTACAGTCGCCTCTCTGCCCCCCTGCATGGATACCTATACTTTTGGGCAGGGTTGGGTAGGGACTCACCCTCCTGTTATAGAATAGATTTTTTTTTTTATGTGTATGTTTCTCCCCCATCAAAGTGTACTGTGTTGCCCTTGGAGACCAGAAGAGGGCATTGAACTAAGTGATAGATGGTTGTGAGCTGTCCTGTGCGTGCTAGGAATTGAACAGGGGCACCCTGCAAGAGCAGCAAGTGCTTCTGACCACTAGGCCATCTCTCCAGCCCCTTTTATGGACTTAGAAATGTCACATAAGCCAATAAAAAGTTAGAGCCAAAAAAAGTGACTCTTACCAATTGCCCTTCACATACATGTGATGGCATGCGTGCATGGGTTTGCATGCACACACACGTTCCTACATGAATAAGTGTAATTTTTAAATTAATCTTAGCCCAGGGATGAGAGTCCTTTCAGGTGTCTTACATGTAGCCCTCCCTGCAGGCTTTCCTGCCACCCCATTGCTGTAGTCTGAAGTGACTTCAGCAGCCTGCTCCAACTGCCACCAAAAGCAGAGACCAGAGCCAGTGCTGCGGTGGCTGGAGCAGGATGATTGCCCATAGTCTGAGACCACCCCCAGGCTACACAGCAAGATCCTGCCTCAAAAGCAAAACAAACAACAACAACCCATAGCTGGATGTGATGGTGCATGCTTTTAATCCCAGTGGGGCAGAGGCAGGCGAATCAAAGAGTTCAAAGCTAACCTGAGCTACAGAGTGAGTTCCAGGACAGCTGAGGCTACACAGAAGAGCTCTGTGTTTGGGTTTTGTTTTGTTTTGTTTTTTCCTGTGATGGTCCTCTGGTATTGACCAACCAGCGAAAAGAGTAGGGTTGCAGCAGGCTGGGGGAGGCAGTTTGATCATGTCATACTTTCCAGCTTATCCCAGTGGACCAAACTGCAGGTGCCTTCTAGGACTTGCTGAGAGCCACTGGCATCCTCACCCCCACCTTTCTGGTCCTCCCTCCCTCTGTCATCCCCCTGTGCTCTCCTGTTTTCTGTGAAGATGACTGTAGTCATGTCCAGGGTCTATCTCTGGGCCTGGGAAGTCTGGTCTCCCCAAGGTATGCAGGGCCTGCTTTACCTGCTGTTCAAGGGCACGTCACAGGACCCAGAGTGGAGGTTTCCTGGGAGGTGCCAAGCCGGGAGGGTTTGGAGACATGAGTCTGAGATCCGTTGAGAGATCTCAGAAGGGAGCAGAGGACTCTTACTGCCTGCACAGGGAAGCAAGACGGGAGTGGCTCACTGACAGACCAAAACCAGGGAGGAGAAAAGCTGAGACAACTCTCCATTTCGCAAGCCCTTTCACAAGAGGCCCTGTGTGCATGCCTGTTGAGGTCAGGCTGCACCTTGCCCTACATTATTCCACGTTGTGTAAAACAGTGGCTTTTCACACTGCCTCCCCCCAAGAGACCCCGTTTACAGGCATCTTTGTACTCTAGATGGAAGATGCACGTTGACTGCACCATCTGTCCAACATCATCCACATGGCACGGAGTAATCACTGATTATTTCTGGAAGTAGCAAAGGTACTACTCTATAATTTATTGTGGTGGATTGGAACTGTAGGGGCATGTGAGCATATTAAAATCATATCTGGAAGATCAGATTCAAGAATTTACTGGGCACACCCGGCCATGGAAAGTATGTATGCAAGTCCTTCATTTGAACCCCATACAGAAGTAAACATCTAGCAGTTGGATGGTGACAGTCCTCATATACCTATTTCTCACCACCCAGCATGTAACAAGGACTGACTAACAGGCAAAGAACTCTCACCTGTCCCAGAGACTTCAGGCTGTCTGATTCTATCTGCCCATCCTCCTGTTGTCCCCTCTGGTGTTGCCTCCATCCTTCAGCCCATTCTGTCGTCTGGACCAGTCTTGCCCTTTGCCCTAGCAGCTGGAGTCAGCTCTCCCAGTTCGCTCTCAAACCTATGACCCTCAGTGTCCTGACTCAGGACAACTGCTTCTCCAACTTCTCCAGTTCCCTTCAGTTCACTATCAGAGGCTCCTGTCGCTGACAGTTTCCCAGCTTTGGCTTCTCAGGCCTGTCAGAAAGAAACTCTAAAACCCCTTGCATCTTTTAACCCTTTGTAGCCATTCCATAATCTATATGTGTACATATATAGAGATACATTTACTGTGTGATACGCCGTGTACCATTGGAGAGTAATCAAGATTAAAATACAAGAACTCATGTTGCCTCAGCCAGGACTGCCAAGAAAAGCAGGAGTATCTGGCAAATAGTTTTGCCATTGAAGACGCTGTACCTTGTGGATTTGTTGTCAATAAAACGTGACATTGTGAAAAACCCCAACTCTTTGTCTGTATTCTTTTTTTTTTTTTTTTTTTTTTTTTTTTTTGGTTTTTTGAGACAAGGTTTCTCTGTGGTTTTGGAGCCTGTCCTGGAACTAGCTCTTGTAGACCAGGCTGGTCCTTTGTCTGTAGTCTTAAAAGCATGCTCACTACAGTGGCTAGTTGACATGCCAAGCAGCGCCCTTTTCTCAGTGCCCTCAACCCCGGGAAGCTTCACGTCACCCCCACATAAACAGGGCTCCCTGATGGAGAGACCTGTGACTGGACTGTAACTACCTTCTCCCTGGACTTCTCTTATGGCAGACAGTCCTGCTGCCCTGGAATCTCTATGCAAATAAGGTGCCAGAGGCACATGGAATTTGCATGAAGGGTGTGTGAAGGCTCTCGGGAAAATGGGCTGACTGTGTTTGCAGGCTCAGAACCCCACACCCTCTTCTTAAACAAAGGCAGATCCTGCCCAGAGACATGATAGACCTCTCGGTGGCCAGCTGCACCGAGAACCTCTCTGCTTCCAGCCCTTTCAGCCTGTGAGGCAAGGGCAGGTGACTGGCTGCCACAGCTCAGGGGGGCCCTAGGAGCACTGGCCCTGA